TAATCCTCCTCCAATTGCTCCTCCTATTTCTTTCCATTGTCTTTTTCCTTATTTTTCTACCTTCTCTTTTTTGTGGTGTGGAACCTCTTCCAAGTCACCTGTAGAATGCTGGTCTTAGAGTCTGAAAGACTTGAGTTCATATTCTGTCTCACAGCTTACTAGCTGTATGACACTGAATAAGTCACATTCTCCGTGTCTCAGTTTCATCATCTGTAGAATAGAGATAATAACAAGTAACTATCTCACAGGGTAATGTTACAAGGTTCAAATGAGAAAATATGGGTAGAACACTTTGTAAATTTCAAAGTATTTTATGAATGTTAGCTATCATTACTATTTCAAGATTCAAGGGTATCTTTAGTTCTGAGAAAAACAACATTGTAGAGTGGAAAGAACACTAGTTCAGGAAATTTGGTTTCAACTCCAGCTATAGCATTTCTTCAGTATGCAACCATGGATGTCAATAAGTCTTTCTGAGCCTCAACTTTTCTGCTTGTAAAATGCTGATAATAAAATTTATATTATCTACTTCCTGGAGTTATTAGAAAAATGCTTTGTAAATCTGAAGACACTTAATAAATGAATTATGATTATAAAGGTATTTAAAATTGTGGTGGATACCTCATCCAATTATAATTTAATTAAAAAAAACGCCCTCCTGTGCCTTTATCTTTCTGGACTTATGCATCTTGGTTTAAAAAATGTTTTTAAAAAACTGTCTCATCCAGAAACACTCTGCCCCTTATGCAAAAGTCCATCTTCCATGTGTGAATTAAAGCATCTAAGTGGTATAGTGGAGAGAGTCTGAAGTCAGGAAGACCTGGGTTCATGTCTGGGCTTCAGATACTTATAGGTATATGACTGGGAAACTCATTTAATCTTTTTGCCTCTGTTTTCTCAAGAGTAACATGTAAAATGTAAAATGTAAAACAATAACCCATGGTTATTGTGAGAATCAAATGATATAATATTTGTAAAGTACTTATCATAATACCTGTTACATAGTATATGCTTAACAAATGTTGTTTTTCTTCCTCAATATTTATAATAATGAAAATAATACTAGCTGACATTGATATAGTACCTTATGGTTTCAATGTGGTTTGACATACATAATTTCATCCTCATAATTCGTCCTATGGATAGGAATGTTGAAGCATATAAATGTCATGTGTTTTTTTTCAAATGCTTGCAGGGATATTCTATTCCTAATTACATAAGAATAGTAATTAGCAGACACAGTCTAGGTCTGATTTTTAATCCAGGACCCATTTACTACACTATATACTTGCAGCAGCAGTATATTATTTTTACAGAGCTGCAGATACTCTACCTTTCTCCACTGTATTCAAATGTTCCTTCCTCCATATTAGAAATAATTAAAAGTTTTCATATAAAAAAACAAACAGTGGAGATAGACGAAGAAGAAAAACTGCCAAATGGGAAAAAAAGTTACACCAAATATTAGTGATAAAAGTCTTATATCCAAGACACAAAAATATAAACCTAGAGCCGCTTCCCAATAGATAATTAATCAAAGGATGTAAATGAAGTTTTAAAAGAATTGCAAAATATAAACTACCATTCAAAAAAATGCTCTAAATAACTAATAGTAAGAGAAACACAAATTAAGTAACTCAGATTATAAAACTTGAAAATGTTTGGCAAAACTATGGGGAGATAGATATTGTTTATGACACTATGAATTGGCCCAACCATCTCTATAACAAATTGAAAATATACAAGAAATTTTCTGTAAACAAATTCAAGTAGACATTATTTCATTCAATGTATTTTTACAATACCTGGATCACAGTGAGCACTTGATAAAAAATGTTGATCGATTGATGGACTAAATAGTTAATATCCTTTGATCAGACAACCCAACTACTGGGTTTTTGTCCCAAAGGCATCAAAGATAGAAAAATAATGTTCAATGTACACCAACATATTCATAGCTACACTCCTTATTGTTGAAAATACTCAAAAAATATAAATCCCAGTAATTGGGGGATGACTGGGGAAAAAATTTATGTTAAATCAATGTCACGGAGGATTATTGTATTAGTAAGAGGTCATAAATGGAGGAATTCAGAGAATTATAAGGCAATTTGAATGAACTGATGCAGATCAAAATAAAAAAGAAAATATGTATATATTTTCATTAATACACTATAAATGTGTATTTTGTACCATATGTTAATATCCATATGTACATACATAGGCTATAACAATGTGAATGGAAATAGCATAAAAAATAAGTCAAAGATAAAGCAATTTAAAAGGGTTCTCTAGAATAGACAATGACACATTTTTCCTTTCTGGCCAAAAAGAAAAACAAAAACCAAACAAACAAAATCCCAAGGAATTCATAGGGCAGAATAGAAGCATCACTGGTAAAAAACAGTCACTGTTTTCCTTTAATTGTTATCTTTCACAAGAGAGTTCAATTTGGAAGGGATAGAATGTTTTGGTTTGGTTTTTCTTTTAGAGATGACTAAGGTGTAAAAACAAAAATAGCACTGATTTATTTAAAATCAGTGTCTATATATTGGGCTGATCATGCCTTAAATCTCTAAGTGTTTGAACTCTATTCTAACTTCATAAAGTAAATACTTCTGGTTACAATAAAATCATGAAATGCAAATATCAAGGGTTTTGTGTCAACAGTAAATTGCTCATTTGGCACACGTGCAACATATTCACATTTAGATATAAGAAGCTAACTTGGAATGAGCAATTTGAGAATCTACCCTGTGGCAAAACTTATGCTACTATTAAAATTCTACTGTCTATTTAAGTTCAAAACTTCTACTGTAAACTTATTGCATTTAATTTCCTTTGCTTTTGAAGACTAAGGAAAGATAATATATATATATACACATATATAGCAGTTTAATTTTTTTTAAAAAGTAGAATCAATTTCCATATATAGAACTTCATAGAGGAATCATATAATGTAAATTCATATTAGCAACTCAAGTACACTGGAAATCTGCTGGAACATGATCTACCCTAGCACAGAATTTGGTGGGTAATATGTGCCAAGAAAATTTATTAAGGAGGAATTAAAAGAGCTGGTGAAAATATGACCTTTGTCAAGTATATCTGATAAAGATCTGCTATCCAAAATATACAGGCAACAAAAGGAAAAATGTTAAGACCAAAAACCAAGAATCATTCTCCAACAGAAAAGTGGTCAAAAATTATGAACTAACAATTCTCAAAAAAAAAATTGCAAATGACAGTCATGAGATAGTGTGTTACAAAGCACTAATAATATGATTAATACAAATCAAAATAATATTGAGATATTTCCATAGTCCTAGAAAATTAGCAAGATAATAAATATAGGAATACTTAATGTGGGAGTGACTGTGTAAAGATAGGCACATATATGCATAATTGGTGGAACTGTGAGTGGGTCCAATCATTCTGGGAAGGAATTTGAAACCATGGTAACTAAAATAAATGTACCTGCTGATCCAGAGATACCTCTGCTAGGCATATACGCTAAGCAAATCAGTCATAAAAGGAAAGGACCCATATGTACTAACATTTTTATAGCAGCAACCAAGGTAGATGTCAATCAGCTATAGGATGGCTAAATAGATTGTAATACATGGATATTAATGTGTTGTTAGAAACAATGAATGTGAGGCAAACAGAAAATATGAGCAGACATATGAACTGCTCCAAAGTATAGCAAATATAACCAAGAAATAAGTATACACAAAAATTATAATATACATATATATATATATACAAATTTTAAAAATAGGAAAATCAAAACTGAATTTTATACAATTATAGTGATTATGCTTGGGTCCAAAGAAGAAACATGAGAGGACATCTCCACCTTTCACTGTAGTTTTATGGGGTGGTGATCTAAGGGTGTGGAATATTATATTTAATGTGAAACTTTTTTGATATATTGATTAATTTTGCCAGAATGTTTTTTTCTTTCTTTATTATATGGGATGGTATATTAGAATGGGAAAGAAGTATAATATATTGGGAAATGTCAGTGATTTAAAAAGAAAAGTTAGTACTAAAATTTATTTTAAAAATTAATCTGGCTTTTGTGTTTTAATCTATCTATCTATCTATCTATCTATCTATGTATCTATCTGTAATTGAAAACATATCCTATACATATGATATATTTTTGGTTTTAAAAATACAAACTTGTATATGCTTATCCCTTTCCAAATAAAATATCTTAGACCATTTTGATGGTGGTATGGTTGGAAGAAACAACATGATCAGTAAAAGTACCATAATTTACTTTGTGAATAATTGATATTCATACAGCATCTCACAAATTAACATAAATAATCTCATTTAATCCCTCCAACAACACTGATATAGTGTCAAATCAAGCATTTGATAAGCATCTACTATATACCAGGCACTATGCTAAGTGATGGATGTATAAAGAAATGCAGAAACAATCTTGGTTGTCAAGGAGTTCAATCTAATAGGTATAAGCAATATGCAAGCACTTATGTGCAAACAAGTGATATAAAGTATTGATTGGAGATAATATCAGAGGGAAGGCACTAACATTAAGGAGGACTAGGAAAGGCGTCCTGCAGAAGGTAGAATTTGATCTTGAAGGAATCCAGAGAAGCCACAAGGAGGAAAGGATAGAGAGGCAGGGGGAACAACCACAGAAAAAGTGTATGAAGTATGATTATTATCATCCCATTTTACAGATGAGGTTACTAAGGCTAAGCAACGTGGTTAAAGTCACACAGTTAGTTAATGATGCGAGTACAAATCAGGTCTTCTGACTCTAATTTCTCAGTTTCACCAGACTTCCAAGTACTTTGCCACCAAATCATTTGGAAAATCTTGGTTAAAGTTGATTATTGGAGAAGTTGTGAATGAATGAAGATAATGAACATTAATTAGAACAATGCAAAATCCAGAGAGAACAATTCCTAAACATTATCTTGTTGTAAAATAAAGTTATTTTCCCCTTTTTTGTTTTTTAGATTGACCATCTCTGCTGAATGTCCCATGCAACTTGAAGACTTCCCAATGGATGCACATGCTTGTCCTCTGAAATTTGGAAGTTGTAAGTTCTTTTTGCAAGTAAGAACTATGGCTATACTCTCACTGGGCTTCCTAGATTGTTCAGGTGGACTTGGTTTTCCCTCCTAAATGTGGTGGAACATGAATAAGAACACTTTTCAGCAAATACTTTTTGCTCACTCTTACCTTGCCCTTCACATATTTGCAGTCTCATTTATTCATTCAAAAGACATTTATCTGAGTGTCTTTAATGTGACAGGCAGTGTAATTTGAAGCTGTCTAGTACTTTAACAAAATACTTTCATACAACCCTATGTTATAATAATCTGAAAAGGTAGGTAGGGGAGATCATCCTCATATCATTGAAGATAACTAGTTAAATGTTCAACTAAAATTCACGTGATGAATAACAGAACTGTACCCTGGCCTTTAGACTACAAGTTCGATGTTCTTTCCATTATGCCATGCTGCTTTTCAATGTTTTAATACTAAACCAGTGAGAGGTCTACAATAGCTTGGAGCAGCCTTGTGACATCTCTCAGAATCCAGAGATAACCTCTTATTTCAGAATAATGTAAGCACCTCCTGGGAATTTAGTTTTGTTTTTATTGTCATCGTTACTGTTACTATTATACGTAGTCTTGGACCCTGAGGGAGCTAACTTCTGAAACTTCAGGGACCAAATCTGACCCACCTTATGTGGAATTAAAAACTCCAGGCCACTTTTAGGATTATCTTTGCCTGCCTTGCATTTTTGTACTTGCATGGTCAGGAACACCTAGGGACTAGTATAGATTTTTGGGATCAACTCCTAGGGTTGAACCAAAATAGACATCTCTCAAATTTAGGCACCTATCCAATGTCAACCAATATTTTTCAGTTATTCAATATATGCAATTCTTCATGGTAGGTGCAGGGGAGGGGATGAAAAGATTGATCCATTGATTAAATTAACAAATACATATTATCTATTATATGCAAAGGACTCTACCAGATATAAGGGATAGGGAGAGGGACTTAATATATGATTTTATTGCTATGAAGATTTTCTCTATGAGGCAAGTCCTATCAACCAAGATTGGTATTTTCTCTTGAGTTCATGGCTTTAGTGAATTGCCTTAGGACACTGAGAAATTAAATGATTTATTGAAGGTCACTCAGCCACTATGGGTGAAAGAGGCAGGATTTGAACCCAGGTCTTCCTGATGCCAAGGCTCACCCTTTAACCACTACAACACACAGCTATATGTTAGGAATACAAAGGTTTTGTTGTTGTGTTGTTTATCAATAAATCAAGAGTATATATTTTGCCAGGGATGAGGTAAGGAGAAAATGCATAGGGCAGGTATGTATCTACAAGTATAAAATAAGGTTAAGAGAATTGGAGGCAAAGGAAAGAACCAGACAAAGTCCTGTAAGACAATTTGAAAAAAGGGAAAAAAAAAAACACTTCTACCTAGGAACACACTTCATAAAGGAGGTGTATGTAAGTAGAGTCTTGTCAGAGAAGACTATGTGCAAACCCAAGACAAAAAAATTGATATAAAATATAACCTGATTAAATCAAATGGGAAAGAAACTACACAAATAATTTTGGAATGAGATAAGTAAGATATATGCAAAATATAGGTCCAGATACAATTCAGTGGAAAGATTTAAGGAAGAAAAAAAATCTCTTCACCTAGAGAGGGATCAGGGAAGGCTTCCTTTTTTCTAACTAATGTCCTCTCTAGGCCTATCTTTCCCCCTACTCTAAGGCTGTCTGTGGTTTAGTCTCATTGCCACATTGTTGGAAAAGTTCCCCTCATTTGGAAATGGTCATAACCTTATATCCGGTGTGAGTGGTTGACTGTGAATGTTATAATAATAATAGTAATAGCAATACTAATTATTTTCCCATAGGAACTCTAAGGTTTGCAAAGTGCTTTACGTATATAATCTCATTTGATCGTTAGAACAACTTCGATATAAGTAATATGGGAATTATTTTTTCCTATCTTCCAGATGAGGAAACTAAGGTACAGAGAAATTAAATGTCTTGTCCATCATCAGATAGTTTGTTATGTATCAAGGGTGGGATTTGAACTCTCATCTTCCCTCAATACACATCTATGAGTATTTCTGGTATACCATGCTTTAATATTCCATGTATAAAGAAGTAACCAGAAGATAATAACTTATTTATTCTCTTATTTTGTAATAAATAAGGGGTATCCCTTAAACTGCTCTCTGATGTCTCAATAACTTAAATGTTGTTTGCTATGATTATAAAAATGCTACTCTGTAAGACTTATTACTTTAATTCCTCTTTAATATTACAAGTCCATCCTTGACTTTAATCTTATTTTCTATTTTTAAAACTTGAAGTTATTTATTTTTACTTATACAAGAAAGCTTTAAAATATTACCACTTACAGAGTTTTCCAGGGTGATATATTCAAATGTAACCAGGCTTTTTCATGTACCCAAAGATTTCTATTTTATTCTTAATAAGCTTATCTTAATAGACAAGTCAATTGAAAATTTCTTATAAGAGTTTTAGAGGGGACAGCTAGATGGCGCTGTGGACAGAGCACCGGCCCTGAAGTCAGGAGGACCTGAGTTCAAACACTTGACCCTTACTACCTGTGTGACCCTGGGCAAGTCACTTAACCCCAATTGCCTAAATAAAAAAAAAGTTTCAGAGCACATTTTAAATATAATTAAAGTTACAGCGTGGTAGAAAAATACAGTACTACTCACAATAAGTGTTATTTCCAAATAGTTCTGTCATCATTGTTAAATAATTCCCTTGGGACACATTACTGTGTTTTTTGTAGATTCTAAATGATAAAGTAAGGCATCAACACAACTAGGAATATACCCTATATGTCCTGATCCCAAGCCCAAAGCTACCTCCATGATACCAGTGAATATGTCTCTTTTATTTTTTGCCATATTTTAGGCAATTTCCTTTCAACTAGAATTATATATATCACTTTCATGATGTACAGTATTTATTTGATTCTCAATAAAAGAAAATTGATTTGAAAATGAAAGTTTTCTTTAAATATTGCATCTCATCCTTTGTTCCATCCAATATTTAAAGATAACCATTCTAAGATTTAAGAAAAATAGAATGATAAATGAAATTTTCATTTTGCTTTATGAAAAACTAATAACCCCAATCAATTATGTGTTTATTATATAGGTTTTCTGTTTAAAACGTACTTGAGAAATCATCAGTCCAACCCCTTTATTGTACAGATTAGACACCTGAGGGAAAGAGCAATGTGAATATTCCACAAAGTAGTAGCAGCATAAGAGAAGAAAGACCTCCTGCCTCCCAGCTCTTCTTTCTACACCAGAATCCCTCTGTAACCTATCGTTACTACCCAATACCACTAAACTCTATTAGATATAACCCAGGACCTTTGAGTATACAGGACAAAAAGTAATAGAAAATATAAGTAGCAACTGCTGTTTAAGATGGATATAGAGATAAGACTTTTTCTTGCTCAAAACTTAGTTTCTGGAATCAAATGAAAATTGCTTAGATGACAGATTAGTTAAAAAATAATCTAAGGGGATTGTGTGGCTATTTTAATATATAAATCTCTTGCTTAGAATAGGCTCCACTGATGAAATAGATGTCTCTTATTAATTGAAACAATAAATTCCTGAAATCTTCTGCACAATTCTATAGCTACCTAATAGTATCTGCTAACTGTAGTAAATAATAATTTTGTCGTTCAGTCACATCTGACTCTTCTGGAGTATTCTTGGCAAAGATACTGGAGTGGTTTGCCATTTCCTTCTCCAACTCATTTTACAGATGAGGAAACTGAGGCAAACAGCATTAAATGACTTGCTCAGAGTCACACACCTAGCAACTGTCTGAGGCCAGATATGAACTCAGGTCTTCCTGGATCCAGGTCCAGGGCTTTATCCACTGTGCAACCTATGTCTTAAACCAAAAGGCCTCAAGATTTTTTTTTTTTAAAAAAGATCTTACTATTATGTGTCCTCACAATACTAAATTCTAGACTGACTCATCCTATTCTATTGTGGGAGTTCTGTGTGTTAGGGTACTTTTTACAATCTGGTGAAACCTGGGGAATTCTTCTCAGAATAAAGAGTCTAAATATATTAAGTGCACAGAAATATAAATGAAACCAATTACTTAAAATATAATTATCAATTTTTAAAAAGTTTAAGTTTACCCCAGGTAAAACCTCTAATTTTATTGTCAACTAAACCAGAGTTAGGGTAACCTTCCATTCAATTTTTGCATAGCTACTTTGTAGATTACTCATAAATGACAATACATTCACATCTCTTATTTTTGCTTATAGAAGCAGCATGGAATTTTGAATAATCATAAAATTCTTACTCTTTCAGAATGGATGTGACATGTACTGTATTTTTTTTCTTCCATTTTTTAAAGCATCATGCTTTTTGCCTTCAACATTACTGGGACAAATGTTGAATGTTGTTCAAAACTAGGCTTCCATCTTTTTAAGCCTTCCTTGTTCTGAACTCTACTCTAATGCCTGATCTATGATCGCAGGTTCTAGGTCCTAGGGTCAAGTTTCCTTCTCCCCATATAGAGCTCCTGCTAACTCAGAGACAGCTCTGATTATGCCAATAGCAATGTATCCCAGGAAATGCTGACTAGCAAGGAACATCATAAAAGTGGTTAGGAAGATTTTATCTGAAAAGCTGATATCTACATTTTTCCTTCTATACTCCCTAGATTTGTATGGTTACTTTCATATGCAAAGGCACTCACTTTTACATTAGGCATTAATAGTAGGCATCCTTCTTTATAAAATGATTCATATTACTGTCATGTTGTCTCATGTGTACCACTGTGTCTATATATTACCACTTTTCATGAATCAAAACAGAATCAGAATTTACTTCTATCTCTCTTCATTTCTTACACTCAGTGGAGACAAAACTATATATTTTGTTTCAAATTTTTTGCCAGGCTTCCTTTTATTTAACATTTAAATTGGCTTTTTGAGTGTTGATTTGCTTTAGATATTGGCAGTTTTAAAC